CCCCCTCCTTAAAATCATGTGTCAGAAGATCGTGTAAAGTTGATTTAAATTTGAAATACTAGGCTTTAGTATTTCAAACAAGTATTATCTATTATGTAAATTTAATATATTGCCCAAAATTAATTAATTAATTAATTAATTAATAAAACCGTATGATTTAAGTTATACTTAACATTATATTTTATTATATGTGGGGTCTTTAACTACTTAAAATTATATAGATGAATACAGATGTTTTTTTTTAAGTCAAGGTTTTTAATAATAATACTGATTATAAATGACTATTCAATATCGTTATTCAAGAATAAGTATGATATTAATTAGAGCTTTATATTAGTACAGTTTTGATTGAATGTAAAATACCCGGATATTTGTTCTCAAAATATGTACTATTGATACACAGAATACATATTAATCGATTTAAAATGTAGTAATATTGCTAATGGATCCTCGATACATGTGGAGTATAAGTAATGTAAATGAGTTATTAATGAATTATATTCGGGATGACACGCCCGATTTAACTGTACTGAGTTTAATTTTACTGCAAATAAAACGTTTATACCCTGCAGTTCATTTATCACTGCAGAACGCACTGATGAAAAAAAATATAATTTATTTAAGACTGAACCATTTTTCTCTATATCCGAATAGAGGTCATTCCGACGAATACAAATAAAATACAAGCAGCATTAATAACGCAGTATTCTGTATGTAAAATACAAATTGAAAAGTGTAAGATTATATTTTAATATTTTTAACTAATTGGAAAGCCTAATTATTGATGATTTCCTATAAGAATTGTATACATTTTAGATTCCGAGCGTAGCGAGCTATTGGTTTTTCTAAGATGTTTATTTTTTTTTTCTTATTCTTCTAGTTTGTGGATACATTTTTTCCCAGTAAATATGCTCCGGTTTTTACGTGTATCAACTTTTCTAAAAGCTTAAGTTATCTGGATGGTACTTTAAAGAGGTCATTTTTATTACAATACTGTGATCGGAATTCATCAAGCAATAGTTTATTGTGGCTTACAGGTATAAATGAAATAACCTTATGTATCCTACCTTCTAAACTTCTCACTTACAATAGTGGCTCCTCCTATATAAGCTCTTTTTTGTTATTTTAATTGTATAAAATATGATTAATACCAATAGGTTATATTAAGATTTCAATTTTTTCAGATACTAATTGAAATCAAAAGATTTTAAAAACAATGAAAAACAAACATATTACCTTGTATTAGGTTGAGTTTTAATAAAATATACACGGGTTTACAAGTATTTACTTTTACATTTGAGAAGCAAATAGACTATTGTACATAAATAGATTGTAAATATTTTTCTAATAAAATATATTATATTATTGTTCAAATTATCTAAACATATTATAGGATATGAAATCGACAGTAATTTTTTGAGTGGAAGTTTTAAAAATAATTAGGTATTTATTAAAATATAATAAAATTGACCAAAATATTTTCCGTCGTCCAAGTTCTTCAAGGCAAAATAAAAACATACAAATAATTAAGTAAATAAATAAATGAATGAATGCGTCGCCTGGAGTATTATGAAATATGTATTGCACGACCGATTTCAAAAAAACATACACTTTTGTGTAGTAATATTATGCAGTACGGAATTAGTTATTTTTTTTTTTAAATTAAATAATTTTTAAAATAACCTAATACAAATAAACGATCTTTAAAGAGTTGGAATATAATAGTTAAAGTTAATAATATATTTACTGCTATATTATGAAAATATAAAGTTTATTGCATTTGTTTATTTAACATCTTATTATTAGTTATAAAAACAAAAATCTTACAGTTCGTTAAAAAAAAAAAAATATACTAATTGAATTTTATTCAATTATTTTATAATTATAACTTATTATACATTAATACCTTTATTTAATTTTAAAATCTTTTTTTTTGTTTTAAATAACTTCAAATCAAAACTCAAATACATTTAAATGTTAATAAGCTGAGTTTTCCAAACTCAATGTTGTTATAACATTACAATTAGATTGTGTATAGTTTCAAGGTCTTTTTCGAGAAATGCGAATTAAAATTATAAATTTAAAAACTCTTTTAAATTAAAAAAAAAAAAAAAAAATAAGACTAATAGAAAAAAAACGAATATTATAATTAAAATTTAAAGAACCAAAGAATAACTTCCAAATCATAATACGGTCATAAAATTTCAATTATATTTTCCAAATTAACTATAAAATAAGGTGATTTTGATACAGTATAATATAAATGTTAGCTGATATAATAATTTTTAAATCAAGTACCAAACTACATTTCGAGATGGTTTTATAATTATTTATTATTATGGTTTTATACCCTTGATCAATGTTGTAGGAAGGAAATTTGAAATATAAGATTTTATATGAGGAGAGTTAACTTCTGTTAATATTAAATGATTGCTATTGGAAACCAATTCTGAGCAAAGTTCAGTTAATTACGTTTTGATAATCATATCCTGAACTGAAAATGGTAAAAATAAAAAACTAGTGTCTTTTTTATTTTGGTCTTAAATTTCTGAGCGTTTTTATAGAGGTAAAAACGTTTAGTTCACATTAATCAGAAAATAGTTCACGAAATGCCATGATTTTTACGATTTTCGTCAAAATTTGAATTTCAAAATTACAAACTTTTTTTAAAAAAATAAAGTTAAGTATGTATAGTTTTGATAAAAACACCCTGTAATGAACTTTTCAACAAATATTTAAGTTTTTTTAAAAGTTAGAAAAATTATTATCTGCATAAAACTAATTAAAAACTAAAAACAAAAACCTAGACAGTTTAAATTTACTATAATACTAGCTCAAAAATCGTCAAAATATTTAAAAAATTTTACTATGCACAAAAATTATTGCTAATATAAAAATTGCAAGCATTTGTGATTATTTTTAATCACATGACAACCAACAGCCGTATAACAAAATCGGACAACAGAAATAGTCAATAAATAAATAATTCCTATTTGTCGACATTTTTTCCTCTAATTATGAAGATAACTACAAATTACAAGCGAAATCAAAAAATGAACTTTTCAGAGCATCTGATAAACTTGGCAAAAATAATCTTTTTCGATTTTTTAGTAAAGCAAAGTTTATAGTTAAACATTTTTTTTGAGACAAAAAAAAAATATGTTGTAAAACTAATACATTCCTCACTACGCTCAGAATCTATAAACATATACCAAATAGTATAAAGTGTCATAAACATGAAATGATTATGACAAAAATATTTTAAAAATATAGTCTATATGTTCATCCTAACATTGTCAGTGGTATACGATTTACAATGGTTTTAATAAATAATTACCTATTATGCTATTTATAATGCAAGTTATTTTAGTTTATTTTCCTGTTGCGCAAAATTGTGTTATCTATAATAATTTAAATGACACTTTTTTTTTGAGAAAGATTTTGATAGATTTCCGTTGATTACTGAAAATATATATATGATTATCAATATTCAACAATATAGGTTAGTTTAAAATTTAAATACATATCTATATATAATTTATATTTTATAAACACCGAAATGAATAAATTATGCAAAATAACTAATCAGTTTAAACTATAGAATATACTATAGGTAGTAATCCATATTAATTGTTCAACGTATATTGTGACAACAAACGATCATCATCATTTTAATATCTTAATCGGTTTAATCTCTTAATTTTAAGACACTCTGATGAGTCTCTGAGTGTCTGACTAACATTCAGTACTGTATAGTAATGATTCTATACGATGTTTTTCACAATATAATACTTATTAGCTAGTATGTATGTATTATGTTGTGAAATGTAAATACTTAAGTGTATCTAAGTATATGAGTATCCGTTATTATTCGAAATTCTTTTGCTAGCAAAACCACACACACTGTATATTGACTAAGTGATTTTGTATAAATTAATGATTCGGGCCTCAGACACCGCAAAGCGCAAAGCGGATTCACGCACATATTCATTATATATAACGCGATTAGCTATTTGTTGACTATATTATCAAAGTCATGCACAGAGTTAATAATTTAATAAATTGTAAATACAGAAGTTTTGCCGTATACATCAAAATCACTTTCAAAATGTTTAATTTTGAGAACATATTAACCTAACCTATATATTATCGCTTGCTGTATGTGAGTATACAAAGTCAACAAAATTATTGTCTTCTGATGGTTGTTTTCTTTTTCCACTGGTCATTGGAATATTCTTTTATATCAAAATTCCCAGTATAAACAAATAATTTTGTTTAATTGTATTATTGTAATATTAAATATAAATATAATATTATTTTTTAAATTTTGTTTTGTTTTGCAAATTATATTGTTTTTACTCGTATTATTGTAAGTGTTACAATATAAACATACTTGCATATGATATCTGTAAATATTAAAGTTATTAATATAATATAAATCATATTTAATTTACGATATTCAGACGGGAACGAATAGATTTGTAAATACTTAGTAAAATTAATAATATTAAATTGGGAAAACTATCATACAACACGTTGCATTATCTATTTACATTATACAAATTTAATACCTACGTAGGTACGAAAATTTTGCTTTATATTGTATATAAATTCTATAAGTACTTAATATTAATATACTATTATTTATTCTTTATTTAAATGAACTGGATGCTGCAGAGGACGAACGAGTAAAAAATTAAAAGAAGCATTAGGATCCATAAATAGTATGACCCAATTTGATAATTGAATATCTAACGATACACACCTATACATTAAAATAAGAGTATAAATCGTATATGTTTGAATTCACAGTAAAAATCTTGTCTTGTATTGCTTCTTTTCTTGATGTGTGGTCAACTCCAAATTAAATACGTTTAAATGAATCCACGCCTTAGTAATAATTATTAATGATTGTTATATTCTATACGTCCGGTAAACCGTAAACGAAATGATTGTGTGAAGAATGTTCGCGAATATAAAAATTACTACTGCCATATTTTAATGTGAGTGAAATACGTTCTGAAAAGATATTTCTGTTTTCGAAATCGATAAACACGCCAAGTATAGAAGGTAGGCTATAGTGGATAAGCAATTTGTTTTTTTGGAGGGGGGAAGTTGTTTATATTAATTTTAAAACAATGAGCACTTAATATAAAATACAGATAAGATTACAATCAAGTATCAACATAATCGACTATCGTAATTATTGGTCTAACCGCAATTTGAACTACGATTTTTAATCATTATTAACTCGTATTGTTACAACTTCAAATATAATATAACTGTCAAGGCGGTGGGGGCCTTGCCCCCTCCTCGAATCCACCACTGTAGGTAAATCTTGGTATGTCAATATTTTTAGTATATCAACATTTAAATCGTATTTGTTATCTATAAGTATACAAATTGTATATTGGTTTGAATTTTTGATGGGTAAGCATTTGAAATGTGACCGGATTAAACCTCTGAAACAGGAGTAGTATGCCCACACCTATATAAAATGAGGTTCTTCCGGGGGAATTGTATAATAACATGGGTAGGTATAATGTCATACTCTAGCTAAGGGTCAAGCAAACCTGGGATCCCGAGATCCACTGCACCACAGAAACCCTCAGGCAGCGAATTGTGTACCTGCCTATTAAAACATATTAGATATAATAGAAATAACACGCTAATATAATGGGTTTTTTTTTTTTTTTTTTTTTTTTTTTTTTTTTTTTTTTTTTAAATATATAAACCCAAACTACATTTTCAGGATCATTATAAAATAAAATAATGTTGAGATTCTACACAATAATTTATTCTCTGAACTCAAGAAAAATTATTGAGTACAGGTACGTCTTTGAATATTTATTTTTTCGTATATACCACTGACAAAATAGATATCTGATAAATAGATTTCTAGTAGAAAATTAAAATTAATATAATTGAACCAGGTCGCAAAATTTTCGTAAAAATGAATCAATTTTGGTTTTCTCAATTATTATGGAAACTACTTTAGATTTTAAAAATAATTTTCTTTACAATTGCTATGTATTAACAGGAACAAAATAAATCTCTTACAATTTTTTGACAAAATAGCAATATTTTTGGTAGAAAATATAGTTTGCAAAAATTAAAAACAATAAAAACTGTAATGCCTCGGCCATAAATATATACACAGTGTCGTAAATATTTGCCATTTCACTTATAATTATCTTTTCGCTTTTTCTAATTATTTGAAAACCTTTTGGAAAATCAGCCTTCCCAATTCACCAACTAGATAAGATTTCTTTTCAGAAAAAGTATTACACTCTTTACATATGAGCAAGATTTTTGATTCTAAAATAGAGTAAAATTGGATATTTATTAATAGTAAGATGTTAAAATTAAATACAACTGATCTTTAATAAGTTGTTAAAATAAAGGTTAATGTTTAATCCATTTACGTATAATTTAAAAATATAATTTCTTTTTTAAAAATTGAAAAATTTTGGTATGTATAAATATAAGTAACAAATTTAAACAAAGCACAACTCATTGTCTGTGACATTTTCTTCATAATTTCGAAGGAGACAAAACATTTTTGTCTAATTTTAATTAGTTTTATAACTTTATTAACTTATAATTTTAATTTTAATTTAAATTTATTTTAACTGATACTCCATATGTTTATGGAATTTTTAATTTAAGTTGCAATATGAAAATCAATATTAGATAATGGGGTTTTAACACTGAAAATAAGGGTGACAATAAGTAATATAAGTATAAAACTGTTTGTTTCTTAGATGTTCTATAAAACAAATTTCGAAAAAAAGTAATATTTTCCGAGATAATGAGTGTCTTACGATTGAACACTCTGTAAATATGTAGTTAAAAATTATATTTGGTGGTTAGCCATCTAAGTATACTAAACATGTTTGGAGTGACACAGCAAGATAAGACATCAGGTAATAATGCAAAATGTATTTTGTATTTAATATAATATACGTCACTAAAATTATAATATTCTAATCAACACGGCTTGGGACTTAATATACTTGAATGCTAAAAGGCACTTTAAATAATATTTAAAAAAAACAAAATGTGTATGGATTTTAAAAGACCTCCCTTTAAACGGTTCTTATTTAAAAAAAAAATTTCCTAACACTTATAAAAATGATTAACACTAAGTAATTTGTTTATATAAAATTATACATACGAGTATTATAAAAAAGAAACATTTTAAGAATTAGAAAATATTATTTTATAGGTTAGAGTCACTGAAGGGGAAGATTTTTAAACTTCTCTACCACTTTAGGGACTTATTGTTGATTATAAGTTCGTCCAAGATTTTAATGAAATTTAACATAAATTTTAAATTATAAAACTAACTATGGCTAATATTACTAATTTGTATTTATTTTTTGACTAGTAAGTACTACAATATCGTTATATTGCAAAAAATAAATACAAATTAATAAAATTAGCCATAGTTAGTTTTACAATTTAAAATTTATGTTAAATTTCATTAAAAACTTGGACAATTTTAATTTACTATAAAATATTTACTGTTTAATACATTTTTCGAATTGAATTTAGCAAAATTTAAAAATATATAAACAAAATTATCCTTTAATATAGTCAATCTTCTTACCTACAGCGTGTCTTAGTATGGTTATCCATACAATTTTTTTTCTATAAAATGTTCGAATTTATAATAAAATAAATATTAATTTATTCGGTTACATCAGAAAAATCTGGTTTTGGAAAATTACACCATCATAAAGTATATGCAAATACAATAATAACGGTAAAGCGAAATTTAAACTCATGCACTTATGCGTATAAGTGTTGAAAAATAAAAATATTATTATTTTTTTTTTTGCTAAGTTCTTCATTGATATATTTTAGCTTAGTTTAATTATAATCTCTATTAGTATAGAAAACAAAGTCTCAATAGAATTCATTCAAATTAATTATGATTATTCATAGTAACCGCTTTTACATTATTCATCATAATGTTCAAAACGTACGTCTATATTTTCAAACATATCGCGGGATACACATTTCAAAACTTCATGGAACGTGGTATAGTGGTATATCCACCATTCGCCATTCGACTGTAGTTAGTTTACATTTTTGAAAAATCCTTTTTCCCTCTTACTGTAGATATACTATAAACACTGAGTAATTTAATTGTATATGTTTCTTAGTAAAAAAAAAAAAAAAACATTCTATTGAGGTTATTCAAATTTTGAAAAGAATTTTACATTACAAGACCTAAATATAACCGTGATTCCCTGAATATAACTCCATACATAGGCATTATTTATTAACTAATAACTTATTACATACGAAAAGTCGAAAAATATATTTCAGCAGGAAAGAAACAGTTTTTACCAAAGTTTTTACAATCGCACAAAATGTATGTATACGATTAAGTGTCTACTTACCAACAAACTAACCATTTTTGTACTTATCTATATAATTAACCTTCACATATTCACTCATAGCCATGATGTTAACTGCCAAATCGATTTTTCGTCAAAACGTTTCTATATTATTTTCTCGTTCGCCAACACAAGGACAATAACATAAAAACCTTTACTATAAAACGGTTTTGTGTACCAAACAATACGAAGAAAAAAAATCATCAACGTGTTAAGTTTTTTGTATTTAATAAATAACTCGTTAATGTCGGAACACTCGCAAACGAGAAATCTCTTATAAATATACATCTACCTCTTTTACCCGATATATATATATAAAAATCTTATTATCCGTTTAATTTACTACACACACACACATATTACCGATATGTACCTACGATATACTATAGAGAAAACCGTTAATCTTGACACACGTGTAGCTGAATATATCGACAAATTTATGTACTATACACAATTTAATCGCTCCGGGATGGAAAAAAAAAATTTAATTTCCTAAATATTATTATTTATCTTTGTAACTGAATTATAATATAATCTAAATTACATGTTACACGGATTTATCAAACGAATCTATTCGAATGAATATAATATGTACCTATACTGTATTCTATAATTATATTAGGTACTTTTCTTACATCATTTATTTATATAGTTCAGCTAATAATACAAAAAAACCATTTATAGATACTCAATATATCCACCCGTGTTACGTAGTAGGCATGGCTGTATAAATACTTACTATTGGAATTACAAAAAACAACATAACCGTGTATTCAGGATGTTATTTTGACATTCATTTACCTAAAGACGACTATAGACAAATAACTCAATGGAAAAAGTAAGCTAAGAGATCTTTGAGATACATAGTGCTTCAAAAAAATGCTGGACTTTCTGGACTAAACGAGTTACACATCAAGAAGTTTTAAGAACTTAAGAATATAGAAAAACCGATATCTGGGTATATGGAAATGTGTTCAACCCAGAAGAGATAAGACGACAGGTCACAATATTGTATTAAGACATGAAAAATCACTAAAAAAATATATTAACCTAAGGAGATTTTGAAAGATTCAAACCCAACCCAAATCATAAAGGAAATAAGTCAAATTTACCTATATCCTGTGTATTTTTTTCGATTACATATTTCCCTGGTAAATATGTAGTCGAGAAAAATGCACGGATCTAAAGAAATTGAGCTATTCTATTTTAGTATTATAAAAAAAAAGAGTAAATACCTAAATATAGTTACATTTCTCGCTACTTAGGGAGTTTATAAAAATATATCAACCATCCGTTAATACATAGTAGAACTGTTTTAGTCATTCGTAATTTAAGATAGCCATAACATTAAAGCTAGTCAATTTTTTTTCTTATATACAACTGTAAATAGATTATGGATAAATGTTATAAATATTCATTAAAATATTAATGTTAATTCAATAAAACCATAACACATAAAAATGTGTCCTACTAATCTAAGTATATCGGTTGTCCGTTACCGTACTTATATGCTGTATAGTACTAATTTGTATTTATCACAGTAATTATAAATGTTTCAGCAGACCAATAATCATGAAGAAAAAATAGGGGAGTCGAATGGCGCCATTTGTGTGTTTAGTGTAGAGAATACCAACCGACAAATGAACTCGAAAAAATGTACATACATGCAAAGTCGTGTGTGTGGTTCGGTTCCACGCGATTAATCTCAAGGGACTCGATTTTTTTTAAATCAAATCTTTAAAAATAAGACCTACTCTCATTCCTTCGTAGAAATCCAATTTTATTGCACAACTCCATTAGTAGCATTGATACAAAAAATAATTCTAAATATTAAAATCAATAAACTTCTAACACTCTCCCTATTCTAATATAACGACGATTAATTAGATTAATGCATGAAATGATACTATGTTATATAAATTATAAAATCAATAATAAAAATAACCTTGTATAATTTTTAGGTTCAAAAAATTGTGTATTTGTTTTTTCAATAGGTAATCGTTATATCATATTAATAAAAAAAACACCCGATTTTATTAATTAAAAATATGTGTGCATGGACATGACAGAATTTATTTCACTAAAAACAATTAATTATGTATTTGGTAAATAATTATTTATTAACTCATAGAAATTTACCTATGCACATATTATTATAACAGTTGAACAATTAAGTTTAAAAATTATTAATACATTCTATTTGCTTTTAGTTTAATTTTCTACTTCCCTTCTAACCATGATAATCATGATACCACTGATGGTAGATATTTGTAATTATTCGTGATTGATGTTACCTTATTTATTTTCAACAATACCGATTTTCGAGGGAAGAAGTTTTTCATCAAAAGACATCACTTAAATAACCGTACGATCATCGAAATGAACGCGGCACAGTTCAATATTATATTAGCATTCGGAAGAATGAAAATAATTCAATAAGGGGGAGAAAAAAAATCTGAAATAAAATACTTCAGTTATCGTTTTGTCTCGTCTGGTCTTATAGTCGTTTTTGTCGATGACACAACGTGCCAAATAATCAAACGCGAAATTGATAAACCTTTGTGACGTTCAATTATTATATTTTTGAAAACCGCTATCATTTTTTATAATATTATACAACGTAAACAACACGTTCCTTGCATAATAATTAATACGTGCAGCGAACACAGTCGTGTCAGGTCATATCGGCTTATCTCCAACCCCCGGCCCGCGTATTTGTAGACCCAATCAGAGTTTGGCCCAAGTGGTAAATGTAAAAACGTAACACATCGTGGTTTTTCATCGACTAGGGCATTATAGATTTTAGATTTACACTTAAGACACTATAAATTTACACCTATAGAATCACGTATCAGGTTTGAACGAACAAGGTTAACAAGTTTATTCATTTATCTAAGCCTGCGATGGCTTCACATAGAGAATATACATTATAGGATTTAGGTTTCTACCTATAAAACTAAATTCCTTGAAGTAATATCAGGTTTGAATCAACAAGTTAGGAGTTTTGTATGTTTTGTAAAGTTGTTTAAGTCCTAAAATCTCCTAAAATTCCTAAAACCAACTAGGTTCCATTTCAGCTTTTAACATAATTTGGTAGGATCTGAAATACGCAAATAACCAGAAGTGTACCTAAATTTAAAATTCAAAGGTACAGGAATATGAATTTAGTTAAAACCTTCAAAATTTTCTTCCCCACTCGTCAAATAAATTTAAAAAAAAAATATCAATACAGCCTTTATTCTAATATTAACGCCAAATAAGAGTTATAATTTAATTTCCAAGTGTTTAATATTTACCTGGATGAGTAGATAAAGCCTCCATTTGGCTTATTAGTAGCCAATATACTTGTAACGAATAGCTCTTATTTGTAAATTTAGTCAACTGCTTTCATAAAAACATGTGTAGTTAACTGGGTTGGATTTATCCCATTAATTGAGTTCGATCGAATGTATTACGGATATTAGCCGTGTATATAAATTACTCGAATCACAAGCTTCAGGAAAAGAATACCTCCGGCTTGAACAGCATCCGACACTTATGGATGGATCATAGTATTTCTAACTAATGTGGATTGTTGAATCGCTAGTACAGAAGTGTAACGTGTTATTCACACAACATTTGTACAATTATTTATAATTATAAACGTGTGATTAAAAGATTTAAATTCGGCCATAGGCAGGTAAAACGACATTATAGATCTAATTTATTGATCTCATTACCATTCTTGGATTCACGACTCCTAATCCCTCCAAATATCAGGAAAAAAGTAGTAATATAATTAGTAAAGTGAACTTTTATTATTTTTAAAAATAAATCATTCTTTGTAATACCGTCAATTGACTCCATTGTATGTTTATATTTCTGTTTATTTCTATCTTATTCCTTTTTTGTGCGTGTTACTACAAAGTGGTATTATTTTTCTTTAATTTCTGTATTACTACAGAAGCTTCAATATTTTTATATTGTGTAGTTTTCTTTAAATAATCTAAAATGTCAAAAGTAGCAATTTCCAATGAATACATTTCGTATCATATTATGTAATATATATTTATACAAAATTTACACTCCAATTATGGACTAAAATAATTAAGTCTGAAATATCAAAACAATGGTGAACTATTTTTATGAATATGACAACAACATGTTCATTTTATATTTACCTACCCACCCACCTCCACACCCACTCATTTTTATTAAAATAACGCATTTTAAACTTCACCCACACCTTTTAGATAAAACTAGAATTTTATATTTGGAAGTAATTTAGTGCACCCCAGTTGTCATAACAGTAATTCATAGATACAAAAACTCATTTGCAATTAGCATCTATAAATCCATTGCCTTTATTTATAATTTGATTTACTATCAACTATCGATAATTCTTCGATGATTACACAACTAAATATACTTTGTACATTGTATTAAGTATAGGTAATAATAAAATAAACTATATACCAAAAGACTTGGAATACAAACTATATAACAAAACTCAACAAACTATAACAAAACTTTTTTTCCTAACCACCCAATCCAATTTATAGAAGGGACGCTTGACCCAAAAATTCGGAATCACGCCGCTACTGTATCAAAATATTACCAAAATAAGTTTTATTTACCGAATCTACAGACTGCGTTCTAATTTTAGTGTTTCATTTAAGTACTGAAAGACTAAACAGGCTTTAAGATTTTTGTTTAGTTAAGCTAACGCAAAGTATAAATGTTTTGTACCCACAATGTAGCCATTCATGTAAGCGATTACTTCGGCAGCTTCTTCCG